TGAATAGATTGCTTTCTATCTTTTTTCTTCCTGGTTTTGCCACTACTAACTTGGTCTTGCTTGGGTTTATTTCAATATCATTTAGTTTATAGAATTTATTTGAGAGATTAATCATTTTTTGTATACTTTTCTGATTACTAGTTATCCATGTTGTGTTATCTGCATATGCTAAAATATCTATTCTTAACTTTTCATCTTCTGCTATTCTATTAGCTTCTATTATGCTATCATGTATTTCATAATCTAACCTTGCATCTCGTATTCTACAAAGAAGCAGGTCACAAAATATTCTTCAAACCAAAGGTGATAAAACCTTCCTTGGTCTATTCCATCCCCTGCCTCAAAAAGATCTGTATTGCCATATTTTGTTATAATGCCGAACCTTCTATTTTCATATAGATGCAATATGAAATCTGTTAGCTTTGGTAGTAATCTAAGGCTTTCTAGAGCTTTTCTTAATGCTACTATGCTTACTAAGTCAAAGGCTTTTTTATATCTTGATACACAATCCACAATTTTTTTTTTTTCTCTAATACATTTTTAATTATATTGTTTATAATATACACTGGGGCTATTGTACTTTCCCCAGACAGACCTACAAAGTTTGCATCTTTAATATATTGTTTTCTCTTATAACTTTGTCAAGTCTAGCCTGCACTATTCTTGTTAATATTTTTTTACATATTTCTAGAAGAGCTATAGGTCTCATATTATTCAAATTATATTCTTAAAAATTTCTCTTGGGTATTAAATACAATTGTTCTACTTTCCACTTGTCTGAAATTTTACCAAACTCTAGAATTGTATTTAACAATGTTATTACTCTTTTGGTTGACTTTGCTAACAATTTTTTGAATAATATTTAACCAATTCAAGATATGCCAGGTGCTGTTTTATTTTGTGTCTTACATAAAGTCTAACACCAATTTTCCTCATTAATTGAACTCAGTATATTCTCATACCAGTTCAGATCTATACTTTTTCTTGGCTTGTCTTTTTGCCACTCCTTGCTCATTTGTTGAAAATTTTGTTTTCTTCTTCTGAATTGTTTTTGAAAATGTAAGATTACTTGCTACTTTACTTCTTTTTCATTACTAATAAGCTCTTGATTCTGGTAATGAAAAATGTTTTCCAAAAGTACCCTGTCTAGCAGCACTTTGTTGTATGGTCTGTTTAGCAGACTTTGAAGTATTTTTTATTTATTTTTTTTATTATGTTAAAGCATTTTTCAACTTTGAGACTGATCTCTTTTTCTTTTTTCTATATTTATCCTCCTCTACCTTTTTTTTTAATACTTTTTCTCAATTTTTTAAGTTTGTTACTTTTACCTGGCTCCAAAATTCTGGCATCAGTGGGATTTGTGTTTATATATTTAGTTTATATTTTCAATTTGTACATTAAGTCTTAACTAGTCTTCAAGGCTTACTTTTTCCCCATCATGTATACATTTATCTTTTTGTAACTAATACAAAAACTTGATTTCTTTGTATAATTCATTTTTTGAAATTGAGGTTTTGACTTGCATCGCAGTCTTTTTAATGTTAATTTAGCAGATATGTTCTATTGCTGCTTTTAACAAAGCACCACTTATAATTTTTCACTCATTAATTTCTATCTTGCTTTTTTGGGCATTTTCTCCTACTGGGAAGCTATTTTGCTTTTTAGAATAGTATCTATATATTTGCTATACAATTTTTAGTTTTCTTCTGTTGCTTTGTGATATAAGAAAACTCTTCTCTTTGGTCCACTCCTAACATTTCTTTGAGCTTACCATACTGTAATATTTCACTTGTTTCTATTTTTGCTCAAATAAACTTATAATCACTGCCTATTAAAATGTCAATGTCTTTAATTTTAGTTTTCATAATTATATTTTGGAGGCTTTCTCCTAACTATATATAATCTATTCTTGATGCTAAATTGTCTTTTTGCCAGATATATTCTTTTTTGTAAGAATTTATGTGATGGAACAAGTCTATAAAATCTTGATTTCTAAACTACACAATTAAGGTTTTGCCCAATCCCTGATTTTTATAGCTAATATTGTTTGTGTTTATAATTGTACTACCTATTATATTAAAGTCTCCTATAATGTAAGTATGTATTAATCCTATTTTTGCATATTTCTCTAATTATCATAGTTGTATTTCTTTGTTGATTTTTTTATCAGCAGGTGGTAAATATACTGTTCAGACTTGAAAAACTACTTTTTTGAAGAATAATTCTATTCTGATTATGTATAGGCTATATTTTACTACTTTCTCAATATGCTTTGCCCAACTTCTGAACATTTGTTTTTTTTTATATCTCTAGATAACCAGAAACTAGAGTAACCTTGTTGTATTAAATTCATTCCTTTTCTATCCTTTTTGGCTATATTAGTTTCTGCAATATCTATTATATCCAAATTCTCTTTTTTACCCCAATCTGCTAGTGCTAGCAACTTTTGTTCATTTAATTTAAGCCTATTAATATTCTAAAACCTTATTTTAAATAACTTAGAAAAATTCTTTTCTCTTCCCTCCTCACTTTTTTTAATTGTGCTAGGCAAATATAAGGCAGTCGTGAGATTTTCTGCCTTGCCCAAATTTTAGAAACACATTACTAGCAGATACTCTATTGTTTTAAATTTTTTTTGCATTTTAACCAAGATTTTCTCAAATTCTGTCTCTTCTGTTTTTATTTTGACTTGTTTTTCTTTTCTTTTGCCCAATTCTTCTTTGTTTGAGCCAGTTGCAACTACATTTTTTAAATAGTTTTGTTCATTTAGTCTGTTATTTTCTATTTCTCTAAGTGGTTTTTTAGTATTACTATGTGGTTTGGAGCTACTGCTATTTCTATAGCTGTATCTACAATTACTATCAATATCTTTTGGTTTTTTTAGTTCAAACTTTTGGTTATTGAATTTCCTTGAATATGCTTTGTAACTATTTATACTACTTTATTTTGATTTTCCTTGTTATATACCCTTCTATATACCTTATGACTCTTTTTGCTATCCCATTTCATTCTATTATCTAAGTAATATAGGACTGATGCCTTAGTTGTTTGTAAATTTTCTAATGATGCAAAATACACAAAGGGTGTACTTCTTTGATTGCTGTTACTATTTCTGGAGATACACACTATTTTTGCTTTGACTCTCTTAAGCTGTCTAAGTAGAGCTGCTTTGCATGCTGAGTATAGAACCTGTCTTAGAGTTAGTCTAAACTCCTTTCTATATTTTAATTCTTCTGCGTCAAATTTTCCACTTGTAAGTTTGCTTGTTTTTCCTTTCTTGAATAGCAATGCTCATGCTATGTATAGCAAATGCTTTTTCTCTTCATTTATATATATAAATTTTATATATGCAGCTTTAGACTTCTCCAAGTTATAACATTTAAGTACTTCTGTTACACTATAGTACTTTAGATATCTATTAATTCTTGTAGCATTTGTTGAAAAGAGTAAGTCCCAGATAGTGAGGATATTTCCAATTCTTTTTTCCTTTTGTAGGTTTTTCTTATCTCATTTACTACTACTTTCTTATATATCAGATTATTTTTTGGTGCTCACATAGAGCTATAAATATATTTTTCATAAATTTTTCTCTATTTTGGTTTTATTTACGTTTAGTAACTCTTTCTTTTTGACTAAAGTAATCCATTCACTAATTATTTGTGTACCTTGGTCTGTCTAACCACATTTCTTATACAGTATGACTGCTTTTTTCTTTGCTTTAACTGTATTATCTTCTTTTAATATATCTACTTCACTCTGATTTAAATTTATTTCTGCTAATTTGATTCTAATACTTTCTTCTTCTTTGTTTACGACTTCTAGCTTCCTCATATTATCACTTTTTTCTGCTTTTCTTTTTAGGTTATTTGTTTTTTGTGAGATTTTATCCTCTACTATATTAATAGCTACTGCTATAGACATACTTTGATTATTACGAAATTGTGCTGCTCTTTCTATTTTTGTATGTGTTGATACTTCTGTTGCTTCTTCAAGAAATACTAGCTCTTTTGTTGAAAGTGTTTTGCCTTGCTTTCTTTGCATTTGTAGCCAACTGTAACTATCTATTGTGCTGCGAATTGTTGTAATAAATTCTGGATCCTTAAAACCAAGATATTTTGCCATATTAACATTTGCTTTGAGCATGGTTCTTCTTTGTTCAGTATAAATTTTTTGTACTCTTTCTTGTGATACTGTTGCTAAATCTTTAATTAAGTCTATCTTCATAGTTTTTACTATTTACTTGTTTGTAGAGGTTAATACAATTTCAGTTTAAATTTTCTAGAACGTGACTTGTTTGTTTACTTTTTGACTTTACTAAATGTTTAGTTTAATGTTTGTTTACTTCTTATTTTGATTATGTGTTTAAATTTTCTTATGTTTGTGTTTGTTTTAAGTATTAAGTGATCTGCAAAACTGGGTCTAGGTAAATTTTCCAATTTTTCAAAAATTTTCTAAAAACTTTTGTTCTAAGTTTTATTTTTCCTCTTTAGTAACAGAGTAGTTTTGTGGAAAGAAAACTTTGCTAAATAACTATAACTAATTTTTTTAGCTTTATTTTTTTGTTTAGAACTACTTTGTTTGTTGTCTTAGTATAGTTTTGCCCTATTTCTAAAATTTCTTTTGCTCTAATTTTGGGTTAAGTGATCTACAGAAAGAGTTGTTTAGCAAAAATTGCTAACTTTGGTATAATTAATTATAATTGGTTAAATAAATATATGTTTTTTAATTAAATATCTGATTTTTAAATTATTATAAATATTATGATAAAACAAAATAAAAAATTTACAAAAATTGATTATCATAATTAATTTAATTTAATAATATTTAGATTTTGATTGGCAATAGAAATTTTTGGTGTATTAAAAACAATTTATTTACCAATCAAATTTTTTGTTTTAATTTTGGTGAACAATTTTTATTTTTACAACTTCTTGTTGTTATGTTCTGAAAAACATTATTCTTTATAATGTAATAAAATTTTATATTATTTATATTTTTAGTAAAACAATCTATATTAAAAATTCAACCTGTATTATGTTGTTCAATAAATCAATCAGTCCATATAAGTGGTGTATCTAGTAATTTAAGAAATATAAATAGAGAGAAACTTAAAGATTTAGTTTCACCTATTACAAAAGACAAAACTTTTATATTTTAAAAATATTAAGTTTAAGTAAGTTAGAAATTTTTACTTGTATTTATTTATAAAAAATTTTTATTTATATTTATTTATAAATTAATTTTTTTGTAACCAGGGGCTACATGTAGCTGTACTATTTTTTATAGAAAAATTGTACAGCCTATTAACATTAGGGTTAGGTTTAGAGTTAGGTTAGGTTAGGATTAGGTTAGGGTTAGAGTTAGGGTTAGAGTTTTTTTAGCGTAAAATTGCAAGAGGAGCATTTTTGCTTAGTTATACAACAGGGTTATTCTAGTAAAATTTTGAGTTATTGTAGAATTATTGAAAATAGCTACAGAAAGCCATTGCTATATATAAATTTTTTTTTATTTATAATAAAAATTTTAATATTATTTTAATAAAATTTAGCTATAGCCATCTTCATTTTGATTCTAAATAAGCTGCTATAGAACTTTTTATATCTGTTAAAGATTAATTTTTTACTATTAACGACAAGAAGATAGAAAAAATTGAAGTTTATTTAAGGAATCTTTTAATTATAATGATAACTCTAACAATGAGAAAATTTTAATTACTAAGAGTATAAAGTCAAAGTCAAATTCTACTCAAGAAAATTCTATGTCCAAAAAGTGAAACACAATTTCACAAGAAAAGCAAGGTTAATTTTTTCTAAAGATAAAGGGAAAAAACAATTGTCCAAATTAACTAGTTTATTATCTAAAGACTAAAAAAAAACAATGATTGTCTGAATTAACTAGTTCATTATCTAAATTAAAAAGATACAATTCTAAAAGTCTTATAGAATTTTTGAAGAATGCAAAAGATTTTATGGATTTGGATATTATTGAAAACTTTTTAGCAGACTTCAAGAGAAAGAAATAAATAATTATTCCTTTATTAAATTGAAAAAAAATCTCAAAGAATTGTGAATTGGTTCTGCAATTGAAGTTAAGAACTATATAAACAAATTAAATTGTTAAGTAAATAGTGATATAGGTCAATGAAAAAATTATGGGCCAACGTTGATTTAAAAAAATCTTAGGCCAGTTAACTAGGCTAAACTTTATTTCTAATATAAATTTTTCTAATAAGTATTAGATTTCAGTATCTATATTAACAATATAGAAAGCTATCAGGCAGTTCTTTGCCAAATTCTAATATACTAAAATTATTTGGTTCTTATTTCTTTCTTTTTTTTTTTTTAAACCATTTGGCAGTCATGTGTTTACTTTATTAGGCTTTGTACTAATTGTTATATAACTAGTAAAATTTTTGAGGAACTAGTAAGTGATAAACTCTAGACTTGTCAGCAGATAGCATATAAGAACTATTTCTAAATGACAAGCCAATACCTGAAGGCTTTGCAATATCTAAATTACAAATAAAAATGCTAAATCAGTTGCCTACTAAGTACCTATGTTCGATCTGCTATAGCAAAATTTTACCTTCATCTGGACCACTCCTACTATTGGCTATGATCTGGCTTTCAAAAGTTAGAACTTGCTGCTCATCATAACTACCTTCTTTCCTTCCAAACTCCTTCCACCTAAGCCCACCAAAAAAATTAAACCCTTATTCAAATAAAAGTAAAAAATAAAGCTATGTTTATAAAAAACATAAATATTTTTTAAAAAAAAACCTCACAATAATAAAAAAGCTAACTTTTCAAACTAATTCTAAAATCATTTTACATAAATAGACAAAGATGAAAAAAGCAAAAAAAAGAAATAATATGACACACTATTATAGCTCATACTAGACAAAAAAATAAAAATTATATATTATTGCAACTAATAATATATCTCAAGTGTAAAGCTTTTGACTTAAATATTAGGACTCATCTGGGTACTGACTTGACTTGGGTATCTTTATAATAGGATGACAATCTCTTCCCCATATCATAGTGCCATGCTTACAAATAAACAAACATGTAGTTGTGTTCTACTAAGTTTATCTAAATTAGATAAGTGTAAACAATGCTAATCTTTTGTAGGGAGTAAGTTAAAATGCTCATTTTTTAAAAAAATTTTGGTAAGACTAGCCAAAAATGAGAAGAAGAAAAAGACCTCTTGAAAAGACTAAAAAGAATGTGGGTCACTAGAAATAAATAGAAACAGCCTTTCACCCAAAACCTTCATAGTACTCAATCTTTTTAGTGAGTGATAAACTCTGAGTTTGTCAGCAGATAGCATATAAGAACTACATCAGAAAATTTTTAAGATAGATAATTATCGATATGTAACAAATAAATGATATATATTGATTAAAATATAATGATATGATTCGATAGACCTGTTATAAAATGATATATATCAGTAATCGATAAATATTGATTAACAAGCATAAATCGTTATAGCTCTGTTAACCGATTATTATCATATTTATTTAAATTGATATTAACTGATTTTTGGCTACTAATTGTTAAATAAGTAAGAGTTTAAAGAAATTAGAAATAATAATAACAATACAAAGTAAATTATAAAACTTTGCTCAAATTACAAATTTTGCTCAAATTATTTTTTTATATATCTTACTGAACCTTTATTAAATCTTTGTTCAATTTACTTATTAACCCTTCACTCAAATTGTTTTTTTATATAACTTATTAACCCTTCACTCAAATTTAACTTAAATCTTCGCTCAAATTATTTTTTATATAACTTATTAATCTTTCGCTCAAATTATTTTTTATATAGCTTATTAAACCTTCGCCAAATTATTTTTTTATATAATTTATTAAACCTTCGCTTAAATTATTTTTTATATAACTTATTAAATCTTTGCTCAAATTGTTTTTTATATAACTTATTATACTTTCGCCCAAATTATTTTTTATATAACTTATTAAACTTTTAATTAAATTATTTTTTTATATAACATTCAACCTTTTATTAAATTATTTTTTTATATAACTTATTAAATCTTCACTTAAATTATTTTTTTATATAACTTATTAAACCTTCACTTAAATTATTTTTATTAAACTTTTGCCCAAATTATTTTTTATATAACTTACTAAACCTTCAATCAAATTATTTTTTTATATAACTAAACCTTCGTTTAACTTATTTTTTTATATAACTTATTAAAACTTTGCTCAAATTATTTTTTAATAACTTATTAAACTTTCGATCAAATTATTTTTTTATATAACTGATTAAACCTTCGATCAATTATTTTTTTATATAACTTATTAAACCTTCGCTCATTATTTTTTAATAACTTACTTTCGTCCAAATTATTTTTTATAACTTATTAAAACTTTGCTCAAATTATTTTTTAATAATTTATTAAACTTTCGCCCAAATTATTTTTTTATATAACTTATTAAACCTTCGATCAAATTATTTTTTTATATAACTTATTAAACCTTCACTCAAATTATTTTTTTATATAACTTTTTAAACTTTCGCTCAAATTATTTTTTTATATAACTTATTAAACCTTCACTCAAATTATTTTTTTATATAACTTATTAAACTTTCGCCCAAATTATTTTTTTATATAATTTATTAAACTTTCGATCAAATTATTTTTTTTATATTACTTATTAAACCTTCACTCAGATTATTTACTAAACTTTTGCTCAAATTACTTATTAAACCTTTTCACTCAAATAACTTATTAAATTTTTGCTTAAATTATTTTTTATAGAACTTACTGAATCTTCCCCACTAAGTTCAATTCTGAAACTTCTTAGTGCTGCAATGTATTTCACTTATTGCCACGCAAGATCATTTTGCAGTATGTATAGTGCGTCTAAACTGTTTGGGATCATGTGATAATTAGCATCATATATTTCTATGATAATGATAATGATAAATGATAACTTTTTTGTTTTTTTATTTAACTTCTTAGCTTTCTAGTTTTTTTTTTTATACAGTATAATTTTCTTTTTTCTTACTTTATCTTTTTGCTAATGTTTGCATTTTTTTCAGATATTCCAGATAACTGTTTTTGGTGTCGTTCGATTTTGGTACTTCGCCATTGGTGAAATCGTTCAAATTTGGTGCTTCATCGTTGGTGTCATTGTTTATATATTTGGTGCTTCATCGTTGGTGCCGTCATTCATGTATGGTGTTTTTATGTTTGATTTCTTCTAGGTGTTTTGGTGGCGTCGTTCAGGTTTGGTGGTTATGTTCTTGCTGTTATACTTTGCCATTATGTCATTATTTGGGATTGGTAACCATGTTTTGTTTTTTGTTTTTGTTTGTAGCTTTATACATTATTAAAATAATCTTTCTTTCTTCCATATTCTAGATAACTATTAATAGCATTTTTCAGTTTTGGTGCTTCATTGTTGGTGTCATGTTCAAGTTTGGTGCTTCTTTGCTGGTGTTGTCATTCATGTTTGGTGCTTTGTCATTGGTGCTGTTATTCATATTTGGTGTTTTTGAGTTTTATTTTTCCAGGTGTTTTAGTGGCATCATTCAGGTTTGGTGGTTATGTTCTTTGTGTCTCTGTTGCTATACTTTGCCATTTATCATTATTTGGGATTTGTGATCATGTTTTTGCCATTCCTTTGCTTTGTATATACATTATTAATTCACTATTTATTTCTTCTGAGTATTTCAGCTTGCTGTTAATAGTGTTGTTCGAATTTGGTAGTCATGTTTCTTGTGCCTCTGTCGCTATACTTCGCCATTGGTATCATTATTTTAGTTTGGTATTCGATTTTTTTGTTTTTGTCATTCTATTTTGAAGTGTTGCTTTGTATTTTTATATATTATTAACATGATCTTTCTTTCTTCCAAGTATTCTAGATAACTATTAATAGCATTTTTTGGGTTTGATTGGCATGCTTTTTGTTTCAGTCTTGTGGTTGTGCTCTATATCATTTCACTTTGTAATTAGTACTTTTGTTTGTTTATAGTTGTTATACTTTGTTGTTATATTTTGTTGTTATACTTTGTTGTTGGTTCCATTGTAATTGAGTTATAGCTGCATTATAAATATAATATATAAATTAAATAATTTGTTATATATTGTATAAATTAAAATTATATAATTTGAGGATGTATTGCTTATATATTATATATCGATTTTAATCAAAAATCGATAAAAATCAACGATATAAAACTGGTTATATATCGATTATTATTACAATCAATGAAACCCAGTAGGGGTGATTACAATCGATATATATCCAACCAGTTAGTAATCGATATATATCTATATATAAAATTTCCTGATGTATCTCTAAATGCAAGTGCCATGTTGCAGTGAGTGAAACTCTGAGCCTGTCAGCAAGGTAGCATATGAGAACTACCTAACAGTGATGTCTTACACTTCAATTTATCACATCTTACGTTAAGCTTGCAATAAGCATATTATAGTTGTTTGCTAATTTATCACCTAAAATAACCAACTAATAAATATCTACATTTTTATTAATATTTTGCTAATTTTTAGCCAATTTTTTTAGCCAGTATAAAAGGAAGTCTTTAGCCAAATTATACTGCTAATCTGATATTTAAAAAAGTGAATAGAGGGTGTAGTGCTTATTCATGATAGAATACAGTTAAATTTGTAAACTCAAATTCAAAATTTTTAATTAGTGTTATTAATAAAGTAATTATTGAAATAAGCCAAATCTTAATAAACGTCATATACCATATTTTACTGAAAATAAGCACCCTGGATCTCTTTTAGTATAGTGGGCAATAAAGAAATATTATAAGATTATAATATAAAAAAACTCCAACCCTACTTCTAATTTAAAATATAACCTCACCCTAACCCCAACTATTTATAAATTTGCTTAAATCAATTTAAATAGTTATTTTATATACTAAAATCTTATAATAATTCTATATTGCCTAGCTATACTAAAGATTGACTGATATAAAAAAGGAAATAAAAAAGATATAATTCTAAAATTGAGAGTAAAATCTATAACTAAGTAATGAAGAATTTTTACACATGATCTAATGCTTATATTTATTAAATTATTTATTTATCTGGATATCTTTTCCTCTTACTTCACCAAACTTTATATTTTATTTTTTTCAACACCAGTAAGTAGTATAAATTTAAAAGAATATTATTTTTTGCTAAGGCATACATATTTTGAAAAGCATGTCCCAACACCTGTTCACCAATATTCCACGATTAACAATTAAATATTTTATATTAATTCAAGCGAGGAATGTTTTCTCTATATATTATACAAACCATTCAGAGGGCAATACATAATAATTAAAATTTCTCGAAATTGTTTTATTCAATTCTTGAGGATCTTATTACTACACCTTTTGGCAAGGTAGTAGTAGTACATTCACTGATTGTATATTCATGTGATTTTATGGTCACATATGATTGGAGAATGCAGAGTATTTATGGCAAATGTTTTATGATTATGAATCAGGAATCAAATAGAAAATATTTTAATAAAATAAAACAATGGTTTCTTAAGCAAATTCAATGAGTGCACAAATATGGAAAAACTTTTGGCCTATTTCTATAAGAATCCTAACAAGTCAATATCGACAAAATCCAGAATAGTCAAGATCTTGACTATTCTGATGTTGACTGAATCTTGACTTGTCAGGATTATATATTGTTGAGATTTTGTAGTAAAACAAAATAGAGCTTTACAGTAAAGAGGGTTAAAACTCCTAGAAATGAAAAGTGAATTTTATTAAATTTGAGCAAAATTTGGCTAGGTAATATTTTAACGAGATTTTAATCACTCTAAATTTATTTAAAATAATTATGATGTTAATTGTACCCAGTTGTTAAAAAATAAGATATTGAATGTCAAATTTATCAATTTTAATATTGATAAAATTTGTTTTTTTCATACAGCATATCATTATATGTATTCATATATGAACTATACATATATTCTCTTTTCAATATTTTCTTGATTTTTCTTGATAAATTTTTCTGCTATGTTATTAACTATTGGAATCACCTCTTTTAATTTCTCAGTATCCTCAAAAGAAACCACCTTCTATCTTCAGAATTTAAGCTATTTACTACAACACCAGATCAAAATTTGCCGGTAATTATTAAACTCATTTAAAAGATGATAAATTTGATACCAAATGTCAGGAACTTTCTTCATCATCTGTTTTAAATAACTGAGATCTCGTTTTAATCTTTCTATATCATAATATTCTTCTAGCTTTGGAGTTATCTTTTCAAAAAAAAGTTCTATATCATTTATTCCATTTACGAGTTGATGATATGTTCTATTATATAAAATATAAAGTTCATCAAGTTCATCTATAATTTTTTGAAATTATCTTGTAGATCAGTGACAGTATTTAAAATTTTTCTATAACGATCTACAAAGTATGTTACATTCTGTTTTGTGAGAATTTTAGCTGAACTAATATTATTAATGATAGATTTTAGTTTCCTGCCAACTTCTTTAAGAGCTATATTACCCACAGGATATATTTTTTTTGATAGCCTTTCCGAAGTTACTTAATTTTTCTCCAAGTTGATTAAGGTATTGAGCAATATTATCAGAGTTGTTGGGAGACAGTTCATTTTATTCTATAATTTTAGCAAGGTATTGACTTGTTACTCAATATTCTATTATCACTGCAGATACTATTTTGATGAAATAATTAATATAAATATTTCTTGGTAAGTATTATAAATATTTCTTGATAAGTATTATGAATATTTTTTGATAAGTATTTATATTCGGAAAGATTAAAAAAATAATGCACCTGGAATATTAAGTTTAGCAAGTTGTCCAGAAATTAAACTAGTAGTCTTTGCAAGATTTCTAAATATAAGCCAATCAACAAGCTATATATAATAATGAATATAATAATTAAAATAATAGTAAGTTACATATTAAACTACATGTTATATAGAGTTTAGCAACAATAAATTAAAATTTACCAGAATAATGAACTAATTTTCAAAATTACAAAATTAGGGAATGTTGTTTAAATGTATAGACAAGAAAAATATATTCAACTACTCACATAAAGAACAATAGCAACGATAACAACCAAAATGGTAGCAGTTAATATTCGTGGTGAAATTTTAGTGGCATTTTTGCTAGAGGCACTATTATGAGGTATTGATTGTTTTGATTTTGTAGGTTGTATTTGTTGTATTAATTGTTAATAATTTATTTATTAACTCTATGGATCCATTATGTGAAAAAAAACAGAAAGCACCAGTATTGTTAAAGTTAGATAGTAAAGATTTTGAAAAACTGTAAAACAATACTAGAACAAGTAGTGCTACTACTACCATGTCCATTGTGGATACAATGAACTAGTTAGATCTGCGTTCGACCATTCGTCCACCTACTAATTGTGGAAGTACCATAAATGAGATATGTACAAAGAACAATACATACGTATTTATAACCAACGTTAATTCTGAAGAAGTTAGTATCAGGTACATTTGCATGAGCGAATCTCCACGATAGCCCTAAAAGTCATCAAATTAGAAGTAGTTTATTATGAAACAAGACCTTAAAAGTCATCAAATTAGAAGTAGGTTATTACAAAACAAGATCTTTAAAATAACCAATTTGGAAGTTTGTTCTAGTAATTGTGAGAAACATGAGAAATGTGGTGGTATATTATAAATTCAATGAAGTGTCTATCGAAACTTTGTTGCTAAAATGACGAATTTAGTTAATATTAGTTAATATTAGTTATATAAGGTAATTGAAGTTTTTAGATTTTCTGCACTGTACATACGCAATATTTGTGTATTTGTATTAAATAAGTCATGAGACAAGTTCTCACTTAAAATCAAAAAGAAAAAAAGTCTAGAAAATCTTTGTAGAAAGGATGTTCTTGAAATATTCCTGTTATGGAGGAAAAGTATTTAATATATAAAAAAAACTTTCATTTGTTTTTTGACTATCTAACGTTAATCATGCAAATAAATCACAAGAACTCTGAGAGTTCTAACAAACATTTAAATGTTAAATTAGAAAAGAACGATCTGACTAAACATATTGAAGAAGATATTATTAGTTCTCTGATTTCGTCTAATTTTTTTAATCTATTACTATTATTCTCTAAAAGTAAAGTATTTTTGTTATTATAGCCTCCTCAATACGACAGCGTCATCCCACTTTCAATAACAGTTCTGCAACTCAAGCAATGTTAATAAATAACGATGGCAGATTACAACCTAGACAGTTAAACAGATCAAAATATCGGTATTTGGTGATAGTATCAGTTCTTATTTTATTTTGTTCATTTGAAGTAAGAATTAATTTATACCTTAATAATTAAATAATTTAAATTATTTAAGTATTGTAAATTAACTAAACCAACTAAATTACGAGTTATATAAATTTTAGGCACTTTTTAAAAATAATCCTAAATCTGATGAAGGTTTTAACTATGAAAATGATAAAGGTTTTAACTATGAAAAATGTTGAAGGTTTTAATTATGAAAATATTAGAAAGATGTTTAATTCAGGTTCTGAAAACTTATTGTTGCTCAATATACCAGGTACAATATTTGTATAATTATTTTTACCTTATTTAATCCTAATGAACTAATCAGATGATCAGTTTTTTCAATTTTCACAACTTTTATTCAGAAACAAAAGTAATGTCTGAACATCATTTTAAGATTCATAATCTCGGTGTAACAGTGGGCAAAAGTGGTATTGTTGCTCAAAATAGAAAACCAATTAAAGATGAACTTAACGAGTTAGATAAAAAAATAGAAAGTGCAAGTGATGAACTTGAAATATTTCATCATCGATCAGGGAAATTTCTTTTGTTACTTGCAAATAGAATAGAGTCAATTATTCAGAAAATTAAAAAAATTAACTCTGATTCAACATTAAAAAATTTTTCAATACTATACAAGATTACTCCCTGATCTACAAGTTTCTTTATTAAATTGATTAAGAGAACCATCTTTAAAAGAAATTGAAAATTCTATTCGTGAGCATCTCAATGTGATAGAAAAACAAATATCCAGACTTCAGGAACAACTTGATAAAGTTATAGAATCCTTTTCCCTAGTTCAGAGAAGTACAAAATCTGCGCGTGGGTATCTTATTGATGGTGAACGTGAAGCTGAGGAGGCCTTGAAAAAACACTGGTCAAGAATCGTCATTGATTCTATATTACGAAAGCGAACAGAGTCAGAACTTAAACAAGTGTGAGATACTATGCAAATGTTACAAAATCTTGATCAGAATCTTATCGACTTCAATAACTTTTTAAAAAAGTATTATTGTAAGATAGAAGATATGTCAAGTGATATTCAGGCTGTTCAAAAAATACCAACTACAAAAGATATAAAATGTTTAGAAAATGCGGTCATTAATCTTAAAAAGCAACATACAAAATTCTCTTCTGCAGAGAGGCAATTAGTACACATGCCAACAGATTCTTCTTATTTTGGTAGAAATAATCCTCGAAACATAGAATGTACTGAATTTACAGCAATGATTGATAAGCCTAATAATGCGTATCTGAAAAAAATAAGAATTTGGTCATCAGATATAGTCAATAACATTGGATTCTTTTATTCTGATGATACATATGACATATACGGTGCACCAGGTGATGATGATCATTATGATTTTGATTGGCATAAAGGTGAAAAAATTAAACATATTCTTGTGCGAATTGAAACTGTATTGTATGCAATCCAATTTCATACTGATCGAGGTCGTGATTCTGAATGGCATGGTGAAACCATTTATGGTATTTAACCATGCACCATCTATTGAAATTCATGGCAGTTTTTCTCATCAAATATGTAGTATTGGCATTATTTAGGTTGAAAGTTGTAATATGATAAACTTAGGTTGGTACTTGTTAAACTTTTTTAAATAACAAAAAGAATTTGTATATTATATACAGGGTTGGCAATGGGTTCTGAATAAATTATCAATGGGATATTGTCCATTGGCATTTGCTAAGCCACATTTTGGTCCATTGGTTATATATATATATTATGCATAATTATCTTTATATTCCTGTTATAATGAAATAAAATCAAGTTTCTCTTTATCATAAAATTACTTAAAATTATAATGCTATTGAAGTTGGTGAAATAGACCAATCTTATAATCAAAATGTATGTAGGTTTTTGACTTGAAAATAACCTTACAGGACATCTAACAATTATTATGTAAGATAATTTTCAAGATAAAAAACCCCATATAAGTTATGTTGTGCGTTTGTATCAAATTAAAATAATTATAATGCTGCTAAAACCTATCCCTGCTTTAATATTTAAATTTGTCAAATTATAGAATTAGCATTAGCTACAGTATTAGACAAAAGGGATTTTTAAACTATTTTATAAAATAATTAATCAATGGAGCAATTACCCACCAGAAATGCATTGTATCTTAAGGTCAGAACCCTATAAAAGCTTCAAAAAAAATTTTTTGTCTTTTCCTGGAACAATCCATATATGGATAATCTGCTAGAAAATCAGCATTATGCTTTTTTTTAAATAGTGAACAACAGATGGCCATACAATAATTGACTGACTTCAATAAGTTTTTGATTCGATGTTTTAATATTTATACCTACTGATCAAATATATCAAATATGATATTTCAAAGTATATTTGCTATACGAACTAAGCATTTAAATTTTAGCAGATTAGATTTTTTGAATAACCTTGTGTGTTAAAGAACTTCGTCATTTTTTGAAAGACATGATTATTATTGAAGTCTAATTATATACAGAATTTCTTTTTACATTTCAAGTAAAATCTGCTGGCTGACAAAAAACATTTTTTACTATAAATTTCCAACAAATTAAATTGAGCATAAAGTTTTATAATGTACTAGCATCTATCTCGAGGTACAGGTTTAGCTCCAATATTATAAATTTCTATATGTGCTTTTTATATATTTGAATAGTACTGTGTACGTATTTTAACCAGTTATTTTCGATGAATTTTGAAAAATAACCACTTTGTATTTCTAATTGCTTCTTCATAAATGGTGATGATAATATTGATAATTTTGATTGAAAATCATGATGCTAAGATCGTCACAACCAAAACATGGACCAGAATAAGGATGATAATAAAATGTACTTTCTGGTACTTTTATGCGGCTAAAATAGAGGAACGAATAGTACCATTTTTTAATGAAAAAATAAAGCTATTATTACAACTCACAAAACGCTCAACTGCAGAATTGATTTATCCTATTTTGGAGGATTACAACCACCAAGAATTTCATCATCTTTAACTTTCGTGACAACAATAGTATTCTCTTGTTTATCACACATTTCTCAAAATGCATCAGAGGTAAACCCATCTCTAGTGCTACGAAGAAGCAATTTGAACTCATATGGATTATTTGTTACTGAATGCATTTCAGTTTTCTTATCAATCCAAGTTGCAATTTTGGCTGCATGTGCTTCACTAATACTTGCTAAAAATGGATCTGTTGATTCGAATTTACAACTCTTTCCATTATGTCATTCCAAAGATTTCTATCTAAATTTTATACGATTGTATACTATCAACAATATCTTCACCAGATACTTGAAAATAACGGATATGAGGTAAACAGTTTTGTAATATAGTTTTTAATGCAAGAAAGTTTTCAATAGTCCAGTTTTTAGGTTCAATTGATGATAAGTCCTGATTTTGCGCAATTAAACGTGAAATTCTGCACTTATACTTCACGATATTGCACTATATTTATATATATAGTATGAGATTTGTTTAACCATAACGAACGTTCAACTTGTATTTTTTATTGCTTTAACAGGTTTTTGTCTTGATTACCGTAAAATCTCGAAATAGCGGGCATGGGCGTTATTTCGAAACATGGCCCGAATTAAGCTTAATTCGGGCCAAGTTTCGAAATAACGCCCATGCCCGCTATTTCGAGATTTTACGGTAAAGTGAATGAGTATCAATGCTTTTTTTTTTTATTATTGTCCTTCGGAATTGAACTAACCAAATACGGATTTACTGTCAACCGTCAACGGCTTATTCTGAAGCCGGTTTTAGCTGCAACTGAATAGGCTTTTTAAAGTCATAGCTCCAGATTAGGCCATAGTTATTGAAGCTACGACTTTTCATGGCTAGAGAACGACTTGTATTGCATTAAATATTATTACATAGCTACAGTAATAATGATTTTAAAGCAATATAGTATTCAAAGAAGCCAGCATTAACACCTCTAAAAATCTTTAATAGGTGAAATTGGTCTACAAAACTCTTTGTCATATAATGTTAGGTTTTCACATAATATTTTTTCTTATTTAATCAATTGAACATTATCAATCAATAAATTAATTTATATATTTGCTTTATAACTAGTTGTTGGCGTTTCATATATATACTATGCGTATGTGGTTTGGGCCAAATTATGCGCATATTATGCAGCATCATAATCCCAGACACTCTACCGATGCACATCATGCCATGCAACCATGAAAATCACGTGCACCATGCAGCATGGCATGGTCTAAAATACGCATGGTGACCAGAACCGATTAAGCAAATACATTCAAAAAGACATGTATACTAGCAAGGTATATGATATTAGTACATTAGAAATTTAAACAAATTTTAAATTTATACTTAAATTAAATTATGTGTTTATTTTAACATGTTTAGGAAGGTGCAACTATAATAATTTTTTAATTATCAAAAATTTACAGCACTACGGCATTATATATATAATATTTATGGCAATTAAATCCTATGCCATAATTAATTCTACTATATGGTAGAATACCGAATACCGTAATGCATAATACTGTAACACAATTTTTGGTATGTGATTTTATGGAAGGAAAATATATATAGTGATTATAGATGATTTGTGAGGGATTTTTATAAGTAAAAAAGTTGTAAAAATTTGTGTGATTATAGAGTTTATGACTATATAGGAGGTTACTGTAGAGAAGGACGACTGTTTAAACTTTAAAATTAATATTTTAATTAATTTAAAATAAAAGTTAATAACTAATATAAAAAAAATTTAAAGCACTTAGACCTAAAAATTACAGTAAAAAAATTTTAAAACATCACACCCGGGCAGTACCTTGCCCTAATATCTAGTATTTTGATAATCCTTAATCAGAAACTTTATGAAAATTTACATTGCAAAAGTAAAAAAAAATAATGTTTATTATTTATAAAAAAAGGTTGCATTACTATTCATAAAAATACAAATTATTCTTGAATAGAAGGAAATATAAATAAAAAATTATATCTATGTTAATTAAATAAGTACATTACTAATACTCGTCGCCGCTGTAGCCAACACCATACTGAGCATTTGGATCACGTTAGTAATAGCCATAACCATGATATTTATGTTTATAATACTCATAATAGGGTTCCGCATCAGCATTAGGTTCAGGTTCGGCTTCGCGTTTGTAATAACCATGATGATGCTTCTTATAATAGTCATCATATCCGTAGTAATTGGCTTCCGCGTCAGCATTAGGTTCAGGCTCGGCTTCGCGCTTGTAATAACCATAATTGTGATGATGTTTCTTATAATAGTCATCGTATCCGTAGTAATTGGCTTCCGCGTCAGCATTAGGTTCAGGCTTGGCTTCGCGCTTGTAATAACCATAATTGTGATGATGTTTCTTATAATAATCATCGTATCCGTAGTAATTGGCTTCCGCATCAGCATTAGGTTCAGGCTCGGCTTCGCGTTTGTAATAACCATAATTGTGATGATGTTTCTTATAATAGTCATCGTATCCGTAGTAATTGGCATCCGCTTCAGCATTGGGTTCCGGATCACGCTTGTAATAATTATAACCATAATTATGATATGTATGTTTCTTATAGTAGTAAGGCTCGTAACGCTTGTCAGCTGCGGCGTTGCGTTTTTAAAGTTAAATGATTTTATTATTGAAATAGGCATAAAAATTTACGTTACATAAAAACTTACCATTAGGAATCGCCGTAACTGACACAGCGGTCATAAAAATAGGAATAATTAAAGATAAAGTGAGCTTCATTATGTATATTTATGTATATGAAATGTCTATATTTTTTTTTGTGAATAAATAAAAATTTTTTTTCAGGCTCTGGTAAGTAAAATGGTATAAAGAGGGTTTTTATATCTTTAAAGAGGTATGACACACGCAACAATGCAAAAGTTCTTGGATATGAAGTCGAGCACATGCGTTCCACAGCCGTAGAAAAAAAGGGAAGATCATGAACATCAAAGCCTCTCCTTTGCAATCGAAGACGATCGTAATTAGGGCTTAGGTCGATCGTTCATGCATATAGTCAAATAAAATAGGAAAATTATGTATTTACAGAAAAATTGTAATGAGAGGAAGAAGGCTTTGATTAATAATAAATTCGTGCTATTCTATTTGAAGCAGATCAGGAAGCGAAGCACTACAGCCTGATGTCGGGAAGTGTAAGAGGCTGTGAATTTGCAAATTTGCATTGATGATCATTCTATAAGCGATGAACTTCATCGTACAAGATGCTGTTATATTATCGTATGAATCTTGAGAATATAGTAAAGTAGTAGGTATATGAGAAATGCATATTCATGTGGAAATTAATATGTACAATAAAAAAAAAAAAATTCTTTAAAGTCGAAGTAATTTTTCTATCATCTGCTCAGCCCGAATCAACAAGTCATGCTAAAAGTATATACTATTTATCAGTTTTCGCCCTAATTTGCATACCCATACTGTAAAACTTATGAATTTTAATCACTAGCTCGAACAAATTTCCATGCAAGCGTACGTACGCCAGTGTATGAAAAATCGAACATTAATAATTTAAGAGGCTTAGATACTTTTCAAAAAGGAAAAAATTCAAAATAGGATGAATCTGCGATCACCGTCTTGTGGCTTTGAGCTTATTAACAACTTACGATTATGCGATTGAACTTTTTTGGTAATGAATTTTTGTCATATATGGGAAGTGAGTTTTTTTTTACTAATCTAACAAATTATTGTAAACTTATTATTGTTAATATACTACTTTTAATGGAATTATTCGACACTTATTGTTTTCATACGTAATAAATATTTTTCAATTTTTATGCGCACTCCCTTGATTGGCGCAGTAATCAGCCACGATGATCTCTTCTATATTTAATTTAATTTCGGTCTGTGCACTTTAACGTTTTGATTGGTCTATCCAGAAAACGTGATCTAGTGTGGGAATTTTGGTACTGACCATATCCAAAAAACGTGATCAGAATGTGGGAAAAATTTCGATGACTATTCTAACATTCTGGATTAATTTACTTATTAAAGTTACGTGACATTCTACTTAGCATTACTGATTACGACATTCCGAATACTTTCTAATTATCGCTATGGCTGCAACATTCTAAATTAGTCATTTTATTATTACAACATCTAACTATACTAACTATCTATCTCTATACCGGTACTATCTAATTCCAATGTTCGTCCGGTTAAACATTTTACAGATATTATGCAATGCATACTAGATATAGTAAAATTTGATCGTTTACATGATTCATTTGTTCTGCGGAATGGTTCTAAATTGGGGCCCCTGGATTTACAATTACAGAATGTATAATAGCTGAAATTTTGGGGGTCGGCTTTACAATCTCATTGTTAAATATATGGTCCTTAATTTAGGTCAATTCCGCAAATTCGTATGAAAGAGATATGACGAATCAAAAATTGATTTTTAAAAATCAACGTATTGCCAGAATAGTAGGTTTGTAAAAGAATTTGTTATAGCAACTCACGATAGAAACCATGATAATTTCAAACCAAACTAACGCAACCTCAACCACATATACGAATAACAAGCCAGTTCTTACATATTATGCGACTGAATTTTTGATAGTAACTCACAATAAAATATTGGTAATTCCAATAAAAAACTAACTCACCTTTTCTCAATAGAATTTAAGATAATTATAAATCGATTCAACTCTTAATTATATAGCAATTATTGATTTTGTTGAATCAATGGATTTTGCAAATTTATCATATACTAATAATTTGTAATTGATGGTTGTTAATTATAATAATATTAATATAATAAACGGCTAACAATTACAAATAATTCATTATATGCAGGATTTATACATATATATAGAACTCATGAATTCACATTTTATGATACTCACGGACAAGAAAAAAAAGAAAATCTGCGAAATTTATCAATTGAACCAACCGAAAATAGCGATAGCTACATAATGTGATCACTGGACGGTAAGTTTCATAAAAAATTTTTTGCAGTAACTCATGATAGAAATCATAATTATTCCAATACTAAATCAACCTTAAGAACGTAACAGAGTTTTTTACAGAAGCTTGCGACAGAGGTCAAAATCATTCTAATGCAATTTAACTAAATTTTTTACATAACTCATGGTAAATATCACAATAATTTAAACCAAATTAACTCATTCTTAACAACATACTGTGATTACCAGAATAAGCGAGTAATTTTTTGTAAGAATTTTTACAATAACATGATGTTTATATTATATTCACTCAAATAGCGAGATTTGTAATTATAGCAACTCATAATAAAAATTGCAATAATTTTAGTACTAATGTAAGTAGTCATCGAAATAGCAAGTTTGTAATAGAACTATTTATGCAACTCAGAAATTATAATAATTTTAATACCGAACTAACTCAACCTAAACTATTATAACATCAGAATAACAAGTTCATTGACAGAATTTTTTGCAGCAACCCATAATATGAACTCCCTAATCCAATTTGGACTAATTCACATAGAAGTTGTGATAATACTAACACAAACTGTCTCAACCTTAATCATATATTATGTTAGTGAAATAGCAAGTTTTATAACAAATTAAAAATTTTTATTGTCAACACATGACAGAAATCATGATAATTCTAATATGAATTAAACCTTAACAACAGAAGTTCAAATAATTAATCTTAACCACATATCGAAAAAGCGAGTAGGTCCTGTCCCAAATTTTTACAGCAACTCACAATAGAAATCATGATAATTCAAATGCTGATTCAACCTTAACTACATAGAAATCATGATAATTCTAATAAACCCACATACTGGTCACTGGAATAGTGAGTAAGTTTTGTAACAAATTTTTATAGTAACTTATCATAAAATTACGATAATATCAATGCTAACCAATTCAACCTTGACTACATATATAATGCCATTGGAATACCATAAGCATGATGGAAATTGGTTTTGATTGGTCATCGATTTTGATCATCAGATTGAATATGATTGGCCAATGAATCGTA